GGGGCGGTCACCACAATGTGAGGAACTGTATGAGAGGGTCACGGCATCAGGAAGGTTGAGAACCACTGCTTTAGCATCTACCTATAGAGTCTACAGGTAGTTCTTAAAAGAGTACCAGCCTCTAGGCAGTTATTTTTTTAACAGTTAAGCTTGACCAATGCTTGGCTTTTAATAAGACTTTGGGGATAATTCGTGTATTAAGATTTTAAAATGATCTCAGGGCAATAGATTCGTTTTTTGTTTTTCCAACCTCACTGGCTCCAGGAGGCTGCAGTTCATGCAAACTTGAAACTCTCTCTGCATTCTCCTGTTGATCAGGGCATTCCTATAGGGTCTCTGATCAAAGTGTTCATTATCACCTACATGTTTAGCGTTTAGAACATTCCTATCATCTACACATTACCATTAGGAGAGCCTGCTACGAACAGGTAGAAAATAACCTTACAAAAGGTTCAAAGAATTTGGTGGTAAATGAACTTTCACCCCACATGGTCAGTCTGGCTTTGTATTAGCTACATAATATGTCACTACGAAGTCCAGTGGGGACCCGCTTGTCCAGTATGGTCACAACCTAATGCATCCTGGCTTGTCATTTTAGAAAAATGAAAGAGAATAACGCAAAGGTCAGAGCAGATTTGTTGTCAAGACCCATTGAGTCAGTTCTGACTCAGTGACCCTGTGCACCACAGAACCAAACACTGCCTGGTCCTCTGCTGGGTACCCTTACACCCTTGTTCTGTGTGAGCCCATTGCTGCCCCCACTGTGTCCATCCGTCTCACTGAAGGTCTTCGTTTTGGCTGACGCTCTACATACATGACTAAGCATGTTCTTTACCAGGAACTGGTTCCTCCTGACAGCATGCGCAAAGCCCCTGAGAGGAAGCCCTGCCATCCTGGCTCCTATGTTGTCTGTCCTTCTTCCGAGACAGACGACTCTCCTGGTAGTCCAGGGTGTACTCAGGCTAGCTGCCAACAATTCACAGGAGTCCGTTCTTCCTGTTCACCCTCCTTCACTGCCAGCTTTCACACGCAAACGAGGAGGGTGAAAAGACCGTGGCTGAGCCCGTCTCATCTTACACCTGCAAGGTGACCGATCTGCTCCTTACACTTTAAATAGGTCTGTGCATCTAGGTCTGTCCGCTGTATTATGTCCCCGGGTGGCATCAGAGTTTGTTGCACATATTTTATGTCAGTTTATGAAACATTTGTTCCCGTACCCTGGGATCTATGCATGCAGCACACTGACCTGTAAAATGCATGGCTTACTCTTGGTCATATTGAGGAGAGAGAGAGATGCCTTTGTCTTGCACACATGCCCCATGTCTTACCAGCGTGTATTCGGCCTTTGAGTCAGCCTCTTTTTCCTTCTCCACTAAGTGAAGCTAGTTCAAGCCCTCCCTGTTCCATGGGCTCGTCTCTAGGCAGTGACCAGATAGACTCCTCTTACTGTAACTCTTTGGGAGAAGGAACGAGATATGAGAGCTTCCTGGTGGAAGTCTGAAGACCCGAGAACCGATCTTTGCCACTGGGAAGTGGCATGATCCTAGGTAACTCATTCACCATCCCAGCCAACGTTCTCACTTGGCATATGAAGTCCACTCTACCCTGACTGCGTGTACTGCATGAGGCGCAGAGGGAAGAAAATAAAAGGTAACGCTATATTAGATGTAAGACACTCCTGGTCTCCTTAACTCCTCTGGGGCCAGGCTTTATTTGAAAACCCAGCAGTGGATGATTTGGCCCTTCCTATAGTTCTCTAGTTACTTCCAGGGTCTGTTTTCTCCCTACTAGAAAGTCATTCTTCAAGGCAGTAACTTTTTCACTGAGGCCCAAGGGCCACTCCATACTCACGAATGAGACCACTGGTTCTCTCCAAATAAATTCCCATCTGACTGCTGTCAGCCCCAGAAGGGGCTGGCATAAAAAGAGGCCAAGGAGACAAGACCAGAAAAGAGAATGAGATGGCTTAGCTCTCGTCAGAGGGAGAATACAACCCAAGCTGGCAAACAGCACGTTAATGTTAGGTTAGAGAGAGGAGGAGACAGATGTTTGGCCCTCCTCCTTCCATTTATGAGCTGGGCTCTCTGAAATCTGGGCAAAGTCACACACACAGATGCCAACTGAACTGGCAACTATAAGCAAGCAGCCGCCAGCCATGGATTCGTGAGACGGCAAATAGTCCCATTAATTAAGGCAGCAATTCTTGGGAGAATCCTGCACTAATGTCAGCGAGTCGTATATGACAGTATTCTGGAATAATCTAAGGAGAGCCATGGTAAGCTTTTCATAGGTGAAATGCTACATTAAGAATAGAGTCACATGTGAACATGGGTAAAACGGGGTATGGAGCCCCACTGTGGCAAAGTGCTGCGACCCCCAGGGCCAGCCATTCAAACCACCAACCGATTATGGAGAGAGAGGAGGCTTCCTACTCCTGTAGAGTCAGTCTCCGAAACCCACAGGGGCAGTTCTACCGCCCTATAGGGTCACCAGGAGTCAGCCCTGTGTAGCCTCTCCCCCAGCTAGTACCTCCTGCAGCTCCTGGCTGTGGAGACTAGCTCACACCCAGTGAGGTACCTGGGGGTTCAATTGCAATGATCCTCCAGCTCATCCCTGGGATGGAAGTGACCAACTAGGAACAGCTGGCAGATTCGGCGACACTCACTCGGGACATCTAAAACCACCCAAGTTTCTGTTCAATGCAACCCAGGAAACTTATCAAAATCACAGGCCTATTTAAAGTTGTGGAATCCGGAGGCGCCTGATGTGAGCGGCGTGTGTGATCGTGTACAGCCACAGGACCAGGGAACTGCAATATAGCTGCAGTTCCCCTGCCTCTAGGCAGGCGCAAGGAATGAGAGAGAGAGAAAGAGAGAGAGAGAGAGAATCATGAAGTGTGGATTCTGCTTTCTCACTGAGCCCCCAGTCTCAGTAATTTGTCTTCAGCTGGTCAGAGATAACTCTCTCCTCCTTGCTGATACTTTATGACCCGCCCCCACCCCACCCTGCCCCCCACACCATCACTAGTTAGTTTTCTTCCAAGGACCATTTTTGCAA